AATCAAACAATACAAAGCATAAGACAAAAACTTAATTCTAAAAACAATTAAAGTGTCAACTAACATATAAGGAAATCTCCATGAGATGAACAAGAGATATCTCAACAGAAACCTTACAGGACAGGAGAGAGTGGGATGACATATTGAGGACTCTGATTTAAAAATATATGGCCCAAGAAGAACACTGTTTTAGTCATGTTCATTGTCTCTGGGACACAACATCTGCCACCCATGACTTAAAAGAGAAGCTCATTTTGTCTCATGTTTACAGACGATGGTTGACCGGCTCCAAGACAGAAATGGCATGGAAGAATGACCTGAAGGGAGGAAAACTGCTCATATTGTAGCAGCCAGGAAGCAGAAAGAGAAAGGAGGAAATAAAAAGGGAGATATACTCCCCCAGGTCACATCCCCAGGGAGTAACATCTTCTAAAGAGAACCCATCTGCTCACGGTAAGTTTGCTACAGAGCCTAAAGTGTCTTTTAAAAGAATTGAACTGTATTACAGTTAATTTGAAAACAAAACTCAAATTTAAGTGGATTAAAGATTTAAAAGTAAGACTTAAAATTATTGGAAGAAAACATAGAAGAGCTACTTCAAGTCATTGGAATGGTCAACTGTTTTTTAGAAAAGGCCTTTAAAAAACAGGAAATAAAAGCAAGAATAGACAAATGGGATTTTATAAAACTGAAAATTTTCAGCATATCAAAGGAAACAATCAGCAAAGCAAAAAAAAAAAAAAAAAAGAACACAGAGAACAAGAGAATATATTTTTCAAACTAAACATCTGAGAAAGGGTTGGATTACCAGACTGTATAAGGAACTCCAAAACTCAATAACAAAACCTCAAATAACCCAATCAAAAGAGGGAAGTGTACTAAATACGTAATTCTCAAAAGAAGGCATACAAATGGCTAACAGGTCCATGAAAAAATACCAAAAGGTCTAATCATCAGGGAAATGCAAATCAAGACCACAAGATGTCACTTCACCCCAGTAAGAATGGCAAGTGTCAAAAAATTAAAGTTAACCAGTGCTGGGAAGGATGTGAAGTAAAGGGAACATGAGCACACTTTTGGTGGAAATGTATAATAATAAATTCCCCAGGGAAGGCAATATGATCATTGCTTACTGTTATGCTTCAACAATCCCACTACTTGGTATATATTTTTCTAAATTTTATTTATTAGTACAGTTGTGAAAGGTATAGTGTTTACATTCATTGTGCGAAGTTGGTCCATGTACATAACACATCTAAATTGTGTTTGCATTCCCTCTCCCTTACGTCCATCACTCTCAACCATCCCTTGGATCACTTCCTTTTATTGGTACACATTTGTAATACATAATGTTTATATTCCTTGTGTGGAGTTGGTACATGTCCATAACACATCCCAATTCTTTTTTTATCCCTTATCACTTTCCTCTCTTCTTCTCTCTCCATATCTTCATCTCCTTCTCCTTTGAGAACAATGTAAAAAATCAGTATATCAAAAAAAAATTTCCAATATTCATTAAGGCTCTACTCACAATAGCTAAAAAATGCAAACTACTTAAAGGCAGATCAACTGTTGAGTGAACAAAAAATACGTAGTACAATTTACATTGCAGATTACTCAGCCATTACAAAGAATGAAATCTTGTCATTTCAGGCAATACATTTGGATCTGGTGTTATTGTGTTAAATAAATTAAATCAAGCAGAAAAAGACAAACATCACATAATTTTATTCATATTAGCATAGAAAAGGTTGATCTTGTGGAATTTGAGAGTAGAATGGTGGTTATGAGAAACCAAGACAGTAGAGGAAAGGTAAGAGGAAGAGACATTGATCAACGGATACTATGTTAGATTGGAGCAAGGAGTTCTGTTGTGCTATTCTACAGTAGACTGACTACAGATAGTACTCATATACTACACATTTCAAAACAATGGAAGACAGGCTTTTGAAAGTTTTAACTATAAAGAATTGATCAACATTGAAGGAGGTAAATATGGTTAACCTGATTTAAGCTTTATGCAATGTATATGCTTATTCACACCTAACAAGACACATCATTAATATACAGTTTTTATATATTTACGTATCAGTTCAAAATAACTTCAATGGATAATAGGCTAAAATACACTTTATTCATTGAATACCTTCCAAAATGTGAAAGTTGGGGAAAAGTTTGGTTCAAGTGGGGTTATGAAGAGTAATTAAATGTTATTTGCATATGCAAATCTGCCAAAAAAAATCTATTAATATGTATAAACAATTGCACTGATAAACATGTGGAAAAATAAATTCAAAATAAAACAGTTCTAAAGTAATTTGGGTTCTGTGCAGTTTGCAGGCATAATTTATTTGGGGAGAGATACAAAGTTGTAACCTATATTTCCTCCCACAACTTCCAACCCAAGATCTGATGTAAAGCATGGCTCTTCTTTTTAGCTTTATGTCTATATTTTATTCAGTGTTCAATAAAATGTTAAACTTTAGAAGATACTTGTGAAATAATTAAGAGAGTTTGCTACTAGAATAGGACTCGGAGTAGTACTGCAGCAATTTACTTTAAAATTCCAGTGTTCTGAAATGGTTAATATTGCTTTTAAAATCATACTGTATGCCCTCAGAGTAATTTATGCAATGCCAAATCTTCTGCAAATCTCATTTCACAAACCATGCTTGAAGAATACTGAAATTGGTGCTATTCATGCAGACAATATTATTAAATGTATTTTTCCTATGTTAAACATGTCCTAGTCATTGTGATTATCTACTGGTGTGTTTAATCTTACTATTTCCATGAAATATTTATTCAAATATCTCTCACCTTCAGATTTCCTGAGGCATAAAACAAATTTGTTTTTCATTAATTTATTCTTTATTTTGCCTTGTATTGGCAGATCTATTACTATAGATTTTGGTAACCATATCAAGATGTCAGTTAGGCTTAGCTTTAAAAGAGAGGGAATTAATAGAGTTGCCAAATCCTCCTAAGATTTCTTTTGTTTAAAAATGTTTATTTCATGAGTTTTAAAATCCTGTAATTTATCCATTGTGCCTGGGGGAAACTATTATACTAAGAACTGAAACCCTGAGTTGTATTCTACCAGGCTTGGGAAAGCTACTGATTGACTTGTTAAATTTAGTAAATAAACATAATGCTATATAAAAATTTCCACAGCAAATTATTGATATTCACAAAAGATGCATTACTTTAATTGTCATTCATTAGTTAAATGGCTGCATTTTTAGCATAAACTTGGAGGTAGAGTCCTTTCCACATCTTGAAATATACTCATTTTTTTGTTTGTTTTTGTGTTTGGCACCAGGGATTGAACTCTGGACCTTGCACTTGCCAGGCATGCACTTGTGCCATTGAGCTATATCACCAGCCACATTTTTAAATATAAACAGCTGATATCCCAATTTCTATGTCAAAATCATTGCTCATCCAAAAATTCTTTTGTCACACTTAAGAAGTAGGGAATTTTACCTACTTGTAAAGAATTGTTGTTTGTATGTTCATGACTTGAAAGTTACCAGAAATTGTATTCAACCATCCTGAAAGTCATGATCCAAAGTTAATTTTGGGAGCATTTACATAAGTCATAAATGTAAATATTACATATGATTTCAAAACTTCCATATTTTCCCCAATTCAATAGTATTTCAGCAATTCTAGATATAAGCTATCATTCTGAATCAAATCTGTTGTTGAGAATTGTAATTCTTTGAGTAAGTCATTCTATCTTTACAATATCTCTTTTAGCATTTCCATGTCTATAATATTTGCATCTTTACACATGTCTGTATTTCAAAAATCTCATACCAACACTGTTTCAATATATCACTCCTCTATGAAGTATTCAGAGATCTTTGTATTTTATTACAGTTTTATCTCAAATTGCTACAAACAGCTATATTTTAGTTAAAAACATGAGTCCCATTTAGCTATATTTAGTGGGAATGTGGAGACTTAAAGTACTCAAAATCTGGGGTAGAGTTGACTTAAGATATGTTGGTATTCAAGGGCTCAAAAACACAGTAGCAGATCTCTGTCTCAATCCCAACTCCTACAATATTCTTTCTTCTTGTTGGGAAATATGATTCATGATAGCACTAGGATCACTAACGTTTCCAGAGAAACTTCACCTATTTGCTTTCCTAAAATCAGGGCAGAAATATCCCAGGGATAACTCTCATTGGCTCAGCAGGAGTCACAGACTCGTTCTTGGACCAGTAATTGACCAAGATGAAAAGTGTTCTAATGCACGAGGCTTGGGCTACATGCACTGCATTTAAAACAGAAAAAGAAATCAATGTCATTGGAGAAATGCTAACTGAAAGGAGGTGCAAATGTGACTTCTCAAAGTAAAGCAGTGTAGAGCATGAAAACTCACTAACACAAATACCCTTATAGAGCATAAATAACACCTATAAAACTCCATCTCATTTTTGTTTTGATGGGAGTAGAAATCTACAGGAAATGTATATTCCCTATCTAACCGTGTGGTTCCTGGGAGGCTGCCATATTTGTGTGACCACAACTCTGGCCGCAGTTTATTGGTTGAGAAAAGTTTACCTGATGCAGACTAACCCAACGGGTTCTTTTCATGAAACATTCAAATATCAGACTAAATAAATAGATGCCCTGCCTTGAAGATATAAAACAGAATGTATATACTTCATGTTTTCTGTAATGAAGAGAGAGGGGCAGCTTGAGAGAAAAATAGAACTGAAACAAAAGGACAGAGTGATAATGCCTCCATGCCCTTCTTACAAGTCTGTCCAGTACTGAAAAGAATCCTGCTTTATTTTCCGTCACCCACAGACACAGTGTACTAATATATAATTAGGTGTAATTAACAGCCATTAAATGTAATCAGGTATTATAATTTTACAGCTTCTTTCTTTCAATTTTACCTTTGGCTTCTTTAGCTTCTTCCTTCTTGTTTGGAACGCCCGTTAAACATCTGTGTTATAATTGCCGTTAAACTAAAGTTAGATGCACTTTGTGAACCCTTTGACATTTCTCTTTTAATTAGCATGCCTGAGAATTGGTGAGCGGATCTCAGTACACCTATTTTGACAGTCTGGGTACGTTTTGCTTTCCTCTACAAGCCAGACTTAATGATGTGGGATTTATCGGGGTGACCAACTGTCAAATTTGCATGGGACCGAAGGGGTTCCCAGGACGCAGAATTTTCACTAGTAAAAACAAAATAAAACCACAAAAAGGTACTCACCATCAAAGCAGGACAGAGGATCATACAGGTGCTTCTTGAAAATTCGAGCCATAGGGTTAAATGCTTAGACTTGAGAGAGTCAGATCCTTCAGATGAAATTCCTGGCCTTGGCTCTTTAGCAAGTCATTTTGCGCAACTTACTTGTTTTATGTCAAGTTCCTCCCTCTACAAACGGAGAACAACAATGATGCTTACCTATTAGATATCTTTGGGGTTTATGTTAGTTAATACATACAGTTGTGAACGTTACACCTTACATATAGAAAATGTTTATTTTATTCGTTAGTTCTATTGCTAATATTGAATTTTTATTTGTGATAGCCAAATTTAAAGTACCGAACTTCCCACAAGCTTGAACAGAACATATATCTTAAAGTATTTCACACCTTCATTATCATCTGTATCTTAGTTTTGCATATGTGTTAGCATTCTTGGCTTTCAATTTAAATTTTCTGAATCTTTATTCTATAACTGAAGATTATTGTACACAATGAAGCACTGCATTCATCTTAAAAATTTCTCTCACTCTTTTCTTTCTATAAATTGGGGGGGGTGGGTAAGGGGGAGGTAAAAGAATAAGGACAGGAGGCTGAAAAACAAACTTACACAGTCATAAGATGTCATAATGATCTTATCCTCATCAGAAAACAATTAGGCATTATCTCTGAAACTTCTTTCAGTTGAACTGCACTGAATTTATATCCAAGGTAACACCTTGTATGTATTCTTTGTGTGTGTTTGTGTGTGTGTGTGTGTGTGTGTATTTGTATTTTTGTGGTACCAGGGATTGAACATATGGCCTTTCACACACCAGGCAAGTGTTATACTGCTGACCTATATCCCCAACCCTTATTTATTTTTATTTTAGAAGATCACTCTACAGAACACAGCAGTTTTTAAAGATTAAGTAGAATATGATAGGCCATCTTTTTAAGTGCACTGAAAGTTGACTTCACAAAGCTACTCCTACTAATAATGGGTCTTATCTTTTATTGGAGGACTTGACAAAGGTCAAATATACTTCACGAAATGCTTTGCTTATGTTGGAATTCATTTTTGCCTTTACACAACTTTATGAGCTGAGTACTCTTCTTGTCTCCCTTAGGCAAAAGGTAGAACTGTTTGGCTGGTCTCAGCTTAGTGAGAACAGGCACTTTATCACATAATATGAGTAGTATTTGAATATGTGTTTTACTTTATTTTGCTTAGGTCCAGTTTTTAATTTATTGAGACATGACTTATAAAATTTCCTTCCAAATTCCAGTTCTGTTAGTCATCTAATCTTTCAGTGTTGCTATGTGTCTAGTTGCCTTTGAACCAAAGAAGTGATCCATATTTTTATACCCAGGATCACCAAGATTTGAACATCTTTTCTTTTTATTAGAACACAGTATTTCTTTCCAAGCTGCCAGACAGTATCCCAGTGGTGGAGCTTGTTTACCAGTTCTTCTCTATAATAACATGGATCAAGATAACTGACCCAATATCCCAAGACTCCCAAACCTCTGTCCTTGCTATTTATTCTAGTCTACCTTTGATAGTGCCTAAATTTTTACTGCAATGCAGTTTCTTTTGTTCATTTTCATGTTTACAATAGCTGTGCTCATGCTACAAAATGTATCACTTCTGAGTTCTTGCAAAAGAGGTCCGATGAGATGTAAAGTCTAAATTATTTACTGTTTAGGTCTTAGCATAAAATTTTTCAGTCCTTAGACTAGACTGTCGACATTACACCTGTTGGGTGGGTATCTTGGCTATACTTTTTCATTCACTATGTCCATACCTGCTATTTTTACCCAGAGTTCAAAAACCGGCCTGTTGATCTTTGAAACTTCATGGTCAAACCTCCCTTAATAGTCTCCTTGGTCTGCGTAGACACAGTGTCGTGGTCCCATTGGATGTGGATCATTGTAAAATCTTTTATGCAACATATTTCAGGGAAGCAACTCTGTCTTATCTTTGCTGTGTACTTATTCTAATCAACTCAGCAGGAAGATAAGATAAAATACGTTGGCACACTTCAAATGGAACAATCATAGATAGGTTGACTTAGGGATGTGGGATCGTTCATTCTTTTGTTCTTTTTCCCTGCCAACAAGTACCATTTCCTACACATATTATTCTCATGCTGTTTTTATTTAATTATTTTAAAATGGTATTTAGAAAATGAAAAACACAAAGAAGTTATTTTACCTTCTCCCTTCTTGTTCTACCTCCTCCTCCTTCCTCTTTACCTTCTTCATTATGTTGGGCATGTTCTGACTTTTATTATTGTTTGAGGCAACAATAACAGCAGAATTCCAAGTAAGACTTCTTTGCATGCATCTTTCCACAGGAGGATAGAACTTTAACAAGCAGAGAAGTGATCAGAGGGTAATCACTGCTATATCAAATTAGAGCATTTTAAAAATAACAGGCACAGCTGTAGAACTCTCACTGAGAATGAACTAAATTTAAAAATTCTCAGGTCCATAACTGGCTCCCTATTGATGGACTCTACTCTGGATGCTTTGTCAAATCATTACAGATTTCCTGACTGTTCTTTGAATCAAGGCATTTCCTTGTTAATCCTAATTGGCTAGTTAAAGCAGGACAGGTTTCTACTGCTTAAAACAACTGCCTGAGGATTTTCAGTCAAACAATAAACTGTGCAGCTCGTCTTGTGCTTATCACCCGGAAATCTCAGGGACATTAATGTCTCTAGAATAAGTAGCAGAAGTCCTACAGATTCTGCAATAAAGACTCTGTTCTAGTAACTTTCTGTAAATAATTGTTTCTCTGCCACAGATTACAGGAACAACAGTGTCCTCACTTGAATTTAGTGAGCTTTCTAGTCACTGCAAATAACAAAAGCCAGGTATGTACCTCCTTTATCACAAGTAATTTGTATTCTGCTATCATTGTTACCAAAAAGGGAATTGACTCTTGGAATCACATTTTATTTTTGATTGGATAGAGAAATCTAGCTGGAAAATCTGAGGCTGGGGATCAGCATCTGTTGTACATAGGTGATTTCTCTCCCTTAAGATTCAAATTGCTGGCTTGACCTTCCGATTACCTAAAACTGTTTCTCATACATCTGTCATAATGTAGAACAGGATATTTTTTAAAATGCCTGACAACCAATGTGAAAAAGCTATTTAGTTCCCAGTCTAGCTTTTCCAACTGGTAGTACATTGATCAACCAGGCAGTTTAATGAATCTGCCATCTTGTACCAGCAGTTATTTTCTAAATTAAGTCATATTCCATGTAAAAGCCTTATTGTTATTCAGGGCACTTCCCAGCTACAGCTGCAAGATTCGATTAAATCAATATGTTCCTATGAGGAACAGCTTGTTGGGGGATGGCATTGTGAAAAGGCACAAGATAACAACAAAAGAAAAATGCAGGGTTTCATTTTACTAATAAAGTTCCAAGGTGTGTTCTTATATCCTAGTAGTGTCTCTTTTCGAAGGTTCTTCCTTTAAAGTGTAAAGGGTTTTGTTCCCACATATTGTGCACTTTAAAAGTAAGAAGATTGATGGTAGAAGTCACCTTAGCTATTAGTAGTATATTTTACACATCTAAGGTCACTTGCCTGGCCTACAGTAGTTGGGTAACGGAGGAAGTTCTTGTCTTCATCTAATGGTATTAATATAAAATGGAATTACATCATTATCCTTGTCTCAACAGTTAAATTACGGACTCTAAGTGAAATTCTAATCTTACTAGAATTTCAACTAAGTTAGGAAGTATGACAGGTGTTATTTGTAAGGCTGAACAACCTATGTTTGATTTTAAATTCTATTTACTGTGAGTGAACTAAGCCAAGTCACTTAATTCTTTTGTAAAATGAATAACTATTTCCTTATTTGTTGCACAATGCTATTGTGTCTCTTACTTATTATTTGTATTCTCAGGAGCTAAACCTGGGTCTAGCACATAGTAGGGACTCTAAAAGTTTCTGTGGAATGAAATCCTGTAAAGCTCTATGTCCACTGCAATACCCTAATATTATAGCTATTATATATTTAGTTCCAATGTAGTGCATATTTCTCCAATGTGCTTTATTCTGCCTGGTTACTTTACCTTTATTATGTGATTATATATTTCTTCCTACTTGTGATAAAGCATATTCCATATCCCATGACTTTCAGCTTAAACATAGAACCAATGAGAAGCAGATGAAAATTGGCAGTTTTCCAGGAAAGCCTCAGACAAAAGAAGCACTGCATATTTCAGCTTGCTCTACTGGCCACAATATTGCCCTAATAACAAGAGAACCCAGTGATCCAAGGAAGATGAGAGGTATGTAGAGTATTTCTACACTAAAACTACATTTTGGAGTCTCCTGGCCAAGACCAAACTCAATTAGTTGAACTCCTGCTGTTATAGTGTAGATGTAGAATGTCCCCCAAAATATCATGGGTTCAGAGCTGGGGCACTTAGAATGTCATTGGGTGCCATACCCATCAGTGGATTGATCCATGAGTTCATTGTCAAAATGCTGTGAGGAGGAAGGCATGTTTGGAAGAAGTGGAGGCATATTTTTGGGGAATGTGTCTCCCTTGGCAGCTTCTCTCTCTCTCTCTCTCTCTCTCTCTCTCTCTCTCTCTCTCTCTCTCTCTCT